GCTACCCATAGAAATCCTTTGGATATTTGTTTTATAGACCTAGTGAGAACGTGGTCTTCGTAGCACGAAGGGGTGTCTTGAGTGAAAGAGAACTCATATGCCAAGAGGATAGTGGGAGGCAAATTGAACTTGAAGAGCTTCAAGAGTTAAGCGATGAAGGAACCTCTAACACTAGCAATCAACTTGAGGATGAGATTCCTGTTGATCCAGTTGACCAGTCCTCACCTCTGAGATGTTCTAGTAGAGTTAGTGTCCCACCTGTGTTATATGGTTTTCATATAACAAGTGAAGGTGATACGTTTATCAATGATAGCACACTGGTAAATTTGGATGAACCTAACAACTACAAGGAATCCATGGTGAGCCAAGAGTCTGTGAAGTGGAAAGAGGCGATGGATAGCGAGATTTAGTCTATGTATAACAATCAAGTTTGGAACTTGGTTGACAATGTACCAGGTCGTAAGACGGTCGGGTACAAATGGATCTTTAAGAAGAAGACCGACATGGATGGGAAAGTGCACACATATAAGGCGCGATTGATTGCGAAGGGCTTTACTCAAACTCCTGGAGTTGACTATGACGATACCTTCTCACCAGTAGCGAAGATCAAATCTATAAGGGTTATGCTATCCATAGTTGCGTTTCATGATTATGAAATATGGCAGATGGATGTTAAAACCGCTTTCCTTAATGAGAAATTGGCTGAAGATGTTTACATGAGTCAGCCAGAGGGTTTTGTAGATGCGAAGTACCCTAATAGAGTGTGTAAGTGTGACAACCCGATTTTTTTTGCCTTGAAAGTCCAACCATTCAATTCAACCGAGTGCCAGACTCGTTTCTGCTATCAATTAGCATTGTTAAGGATCATTTTAAGGGTTCTAAGCTCAGTACAATCAAGTCTTGGGTTTAGGGAAGTGTTAACTTAGGTTCTTCGTGTTTCAATCGAGCCAAACACTCCATCAAAGGGAGTGTACGGCCGCACACATGGGTGTACGGTCGTACACCCATGATGGTCGTGAACCCAACCCCATAAGTATCATATCCCTTCATTTTCTATTCATTTCTTACACTTCCAAGTCAAGAAAAGTCAATTCTCTCTCAAGTATCATCAAGAACACCAATAACACCAAGAACACCAAGAACACCCACTTGTATCATCAAGTACCATGGAGTGTACGAACAAGGGTTGTATGGCCATGGAGTGTACGGCCGTACACTCATGGAAAATGTGTTAAAAGGGGTATTCGATCCATGGGGAAACTAGTAGGGCTATTGTACAACAAGAAGATGAACAAAATTCTCATTTTGGAGGGTCTTTTGGAGGGTCTTGAGGTGTGTACGGCCATGCAAGGGTGTACGGCCGTACACTCCTTTTGTTCATGAAAAATGGTCGTTTCTAGGGTGTTAATCACAATTTTCTAATGTATACTAAGCATATGGGAAGGATACTTACGATTTGGAAGCTTGAAGAGGGTTCACGGCCACCAAGAACAAGTGGGTGTTCTTGGTGGCCGTGAACCCTCTTCAAGCTTCCAAATCGTAAGTATCCTTCCCATATGCTTAGTATACATTAGAAAATTGTGATTAACACCCTAGAAACGACCATTTTTCATGAACAAAAGGAGTGTACGACCGTACACCCTTGCATGGCCGTACACACCTCAAGACCCTCCAAAAGACCCTCCAAAATGAGAATTTTGTTCATCTTCTTGTTGTACAATAGCCCTACTAGTTTCCCCATGGATCGAATACCCCTTTTAACACATTTTCCATGAGTGTACGGCGGTACACTCCATGGCCATACAACCCTTGTTCGTACACTCCATGGTGTGGCCGTATACTCCTTTTAGTTAATCACATGTGATTCTAACACTTAGTTCAAGTGTTTCCTAGTCTCTAAGGTAGTTTCCTTGCATGTTAGTTGCTTTTAAACACTAATTACATACCCATATATGCCATTATATGTCATTTAGGACTCGTTTGTGTCTCGGGACTTCATTCGTGGAACTTCTCATCATTACGCGCATATTCGAGTGAATCACCCACATAAGGTGAGTTCATACCCCTATAATCAATCTTTTAAATGTTTAAAATGCTTTTAGGGGGGGGGGGATACAATTTGAACACAATGATAATTGTGTAAAGGTTTTGTGATAAACATCATTTTAACGGATTGCTTATGTGTTTATAAGTGATCAAAACATTTCAAAAACTCTTTTAAAGTTATGTTACTTTATTGTTTATAAAACACCGTTTTTTAAAGTACAATCATAACTTAGTAGATAAAAATAAAGGGTGAAAGTAATCATATTCAACTATTGAAATCTCATAACTTGTACATTATGCATTACCAATTGTAGTATTAGCTACAACGATTTTCTCTGTTGAGAGGGTGAAAGTAAGATTTTTAAAAAATAAAGGGGTGAAAAATGCATTTTACACAAGTAAAGGAGGGAAAATTATATATATCGTAACACTTCATTTTTATTATAGCCATAGATTGTAATTATTATAAAATACAAAATAAATGTATATTACTCTTAAGCCAAAATAATCGTCATAGGTACGTAGGAAACGTCAATACGATTTACATAGATATATAGAGTGCCAAAATCCGTCTTCGTATTAAAAAGTTATGCTTATTCGAAGTTTCACGATTTAAACCGACACAGCTCTGCGTATTGTAAAAAGTAAATTTTTGATAAATCGCTTTTTAGCCTGATCTAAATGAAATTCGTAGTAGTCGTTAAACCAAGAGCGTGCATATAGAGAACGTCTAAATCTGATTTCATTAGAGGAAGTTATGATTTTTCTAAAATTCAACACAGTAGTATACAACTCAGAAATCAAATTTGAGATCAGTTGATTTTTTGCCAAAAATAATCTAAATGAGAATTGAAGATCTCGTTAATAGGGACCCAACGATATAAGGACGGTAGAAAATGGACTCCGGATGAGAGAGTTATGCATTTTATACGGACTTTAATAGTCTAAGCATGTGTAAAATAAATAAATTCAAAACTAGCCGACGAAGTCTAAATGAAAGTTATAGATCTCGTCGAGAGCATTTCGTGGATATAAAAGAAAGTAAAAAACGGAGCTCGTACGAAGAAGTTATGCAATTTTGAAAATCTGAAAAACATTACGCGCGCACGTAGCGCATAACTTGTGTCCGAAGTCAGCCACGCAACCCCACCAACCCGTGCCACGTGTCAGCAAGCCTTAGGACCCACGAAACCCATGTGTCCGACACACAAACCCATATTCTCACCTATAAAAGGCTTTCCAACCCTCATTTCTCCCACATACTTCCCTAATCCCTCTCTCAGCTTATAAGGTCGATTTTTGAGTATTTTCTTCTGGATTTCCAAGTATTTTAACATTAGCAAGGCTCTGGGCATCTAGGATCGGCCAGTAGAAGCCCCCAGTATAAAAGTTCTTCTAACGCAAATCCCAGTTTACGCTAGACTATTTGTAAGTTAAGCTAAACTTACTAGGCTCTTAACTGTAACTTATATTTCTATTTATAGTCGTTATTATGAATGTGTAAATAAGATTTATCAGTAATCCCTGTCATAATATTGATTGATCTACTTATGCGAGAGGTGACTAGAATGGTCATGTTCGCTTGGTTGTTGGATTTCAGAAAGACTATACTCCGAAATGGTCCTGCCTCTCAACTGTCCTGCTTGGCTGATCCTTATTTGATAGAACTATCGGTATTCATTGGGATTAGTGATAGGTCTATCCTACCTTTTCAAGATTCTCATAGGAATTAATAAACTATAGTAAAATAGGTTAATCATCATTTGAGTGTTGCTCATTAGTCGAAGTGCCTGATTAACTGTTTATCCCCTGAGAAACTGTCTATGTGAGTTCTTCTTACTGTATTATATACTCCAGTATGTATCCTCTGTATGTTAGGATATAGTTACCCTGTAGTATGCACATAGGCAATTAGACTAGGATAGTTGCATGTTATGTGGATTATTAATATATGTATGTTGATATATATATATATATATATATATATATATATATATATATATATATATATATATATATGGAGTTGAGGGCGAACCAGCCCTGTGCTGAAGGCCAATAGACTCGAGCGGACTAGCACTATGCTAAAGGCCAAGAGAAAGCGGACCAACCACATGTTGAAGACTATATCGGGCGGACCAACTATATGTTGAAGGCCAATGTACGGACCAACTATAAGCTAAAGACCATTATGTGTATGCATTGTATATGTGTTGTGGTATAAAATATATTGAGGGAATTTACTAAGCTTTGACTTACAGTTGTTGAATAAATGCTTTGCAAGTTGTTCATCTGACCGTGGAAAAACTCACATATAACTGTATCTGCATCGATGCATCAATAAAATTTTATAGACTTATGCTAAGATACTCTTTTAAATAATAACGAATTGTAATGTTTTGTCAGACATATTTTAATATAAATAAAAATGAAAGTCGATGAATTAAAGTTGTACTTTACGTATTGACATGCTTGTACATTGTACATTACCACTTGTACTATTAGCTATAATGAATTTTATATGACGGGGATAAACACAAAAGTTTAGAAAATAAAGGGGTGAAAGTGATATTTTTAAAAGTTGAGGGATGGAAAATATCACTTTACAAAATAAAGGGGTTACCACTTGTACTATTAACTATAGTGAATTTTATGGGTACGATAAACACAAAATTTTACAAAATAAAAAGGTAAAAATGACATTTTACAAAGTTTAAGATGGAGGGGTGAAAATGATATTTTAAAAAGTAAAAAGATGGAAAATATCATTTTACAAAATAAAGGTTTAGATTATACAAAATAAGGGTTGCAATTGATGAATTAAACTTGAACTTTCTACATTTAACACTTGTACATTGTGCATAACATCATGCACTTTTAACTTTGGTTTTTGTATATATTTATAATTGTTGGCCCTTTATGAGAAAAGTGTTTGATAGTGGACCTAAATAGTACGTTGGTATAAGTTACAGGTTAAAAACGTAAATTTTCATATCGTCTTCCTGCAACTTAGGGTACCGACTACTCATGGATGAGAGATAGAGTTCAGCGACAAAAATCAGCACACAACAGTGAATCCCGTATAACACTTGTTTTGCTCCAGAAACCCCACTGCGATTATTATCAAAATAAGAAATGATTTCGACGGAGGACGGCAGGTGTCTATAAGAAAATTTGGTGACTTCAGGGCATCGCCTCCGGTGACGATGAGATTTTGAATGGAGTTACAAAACCAGGTGGCGCATGCGGTTCACGTCCTGAATCACGATGCTCAATCTTGCAATCGCGTCTCTGCTAATCAGTGGCTGGTTCAGTTCCAGCAGACTGATGCTGCTTGGGAGATCGCCACCTCAATTCTGACCTCTGACCATCCTAAGCCATACGTTTCCGACTTCGAAGTTGAGTTCTTCGCTGCTCAAGTTCTTAAGCGAAAGGTTAGGTTCTATCTGGATATTTATTGAACAAATTACGTTCACTTGTGAAGTAAAGATTATTTTCTCATATTCACGACCACTATCTCCACCTTCAAGGCAAATAGGGTTACCGGATTTTTATTAGGAACAATTAACTGCAATTACCTTGATTTAGGTTTGTCATTGGCCTGTAAATTGAAATGTGGTTACGATCTTCTAGAATGGAACATAATAGTTCTCCAAATCCTTATTTACTAACCTATCAAACGTTCTTTCGCACATTATTGCTATACTCATTATCAAATAAGTCGATTTCCATCAAGTTGTAACATCCACGCATGATAACTTCTTGCATTCAATATTTTCCTACATAGCATACTCCATGATCTTTATACATCACTGCTTCCTAACCTTTTCCAATATTTATCTTTTAGTCTTGTGAAATGTCCTCTTCCAAATTTCCATTTATTGACTATAGAGGATCTCTTATTCTACAAAAAATGCACGATATAATGAATCTTCCATGTATCCTGTCATTTTTTAGATCCAAAATGAAGGACATTGTCTACAACTGGAAGCAAAGGAATCTCTTGTTAATGCTCTCCTTCTGGCTGCTAAAAGATTTAGTTTGGGCCCTCCCCAGGTACTCTTCCTCTCATTCGTCATGCAATTTTTGTAGCATTTTGTGTAATAAAATGTAATTTTCTAACTTATTGTGTGTGTGTGTGTGTTATGTTGGTTGGTGTAGCTCTTAACACAAATTTGCTTGGCTCTATGCACTCTCATACTTCATGCTGTGGAATACCACAAACCAATTGAGAAGCTATTTTACAGTCTTCAGAATCTTCAAGGTCAGAATGATGGCAATATTGCTGTTTTAGAAATGCTCACAGTCTTACCTGAAGTTGTTGAAGATGAATGTGCTACTTATAAGACCAAGTCTGGTCATAGAGTTGACTATGGTCCAGAGGTACTAGACCTTTGACCTTTCAATCATTTCCTTTTGCTCTACTTTTAGTACTGTCTGTAGTAACTAACATATATTTAGCAGCTACTCTCACATACATCATCAGTGCTAGAGTTTCTACTCCAGCAGTCAAAGGAAAGCTTTGATGGTGTGATTCAGTTACATGACAGAAGCAGAAAGATACTGCGTTGTTTGTTAAGTTGGGTAGGACAAATATATGACATTTAAAGGCTTCTTTGTCTTATAAATCTTTACATATTTTATAAAAAACTATAATTTTTTTTTTTCAGATTCGAGCAGGATGCTTCTCAGAAATCTTACCAGTCTCCTTACTAGCCCATCCCCTTCTTAATTTCGTTTTCAACTCTGTGCAGGTGAAAACCCATTCCCATGTCCTTTTTGGTCATTTTATAAATGACATTTGGACTTACATTTCCCTTTGATTGTTTGTAGGTTTTGTCCTCATTTGATTTGGCAATTGAGGTTCTCATCGAGCTCGTTAGTCGACATGAGGTATGCATGACACGTTTTTTTTTTTTAATTTATTTAGTCAATGATGTTATTTTGACTTTCTTTTCTCCTTCCTACAGGGACTGCCACAAGTTCTTATATTGAAAGTAGGGTTTCTTAAAGATGTTCTTCTTCGAGCTTTTAGTAGTGGAGATGAGAAAGTAATTAGTGGTCTTGCATGCTTGATGTCAGAGATTGGTCAGGCTGTAAGTAATTTACTCATGTTATTGCTTTTTCGTATTATGTTTTTATAATAAAACCAACAAATATTGTGTAGCACAAACTTATAGTTTATTGGTATCTAGGCTCCAAGCTTGATTATAGAAGCCAATTCTGAAGCCCTTGTCCTGGTGGATGCACTTTTGAGGTCAGAACAGAAATTAATGCTTTTCTTTTTATATGCAAACTGCATAAATAGCATGATTTCACTTTGCAGCTTTTCTTAAGCATAATATTTATTCCATGTTACATTTAAATTCATGTGATTGCTGGCAGTTGTGTATCGTTTCCAAGTCAAGATTGGGAGATTGCAGACTCAACTTTGCAGTTTTGGTAACTTTTTTTTCCCCCAATTTATTCAACATCAAGAAAGTTGTTAATTCTTCAGTTACACAAGAAAATGAAAATAATTATTGTTATAAATTTGAGTTTGTTTGGTCTTTCTGATTTTTAGGTGTAGTCTTGCTAGCAATATTGTCCGAATGGAAGATGAGCTGACAGAAAATAGTAAACATGTGAAAGATGTTTTTTCTCCAGTATTTTTAGCATTGCTTGATGCTCTTCTGAGTCGTTCTCAGGTATTTCCTTTTTAATTTTGTCATGACTATATATATGACTTGTGCAGACGCATGCTAAATAATTTAGTTTCAGTTATGCATTTCTTCATTAATAACATTAAAGTAGACATCAACTGTGGTAGGTGGATGACTCAACATATGGTGATACTGCAACAAGGGAGTTGCCAGATGGGCTTGCTCAGTTTAGATTAAATTTAGTTGAGCTTTTGGTGGACATTTGCCAGCTTTTGAAGTCTGCTGTGTTTTTGCAAAAGGTTCTTGTCTTAATGACTTAATCTCCCAATAATTATGAATTATCTCATCTTTAAAATGATAGATAATAATATTAGTATAATTTTTGGGAATCAGATTTTTTTTGGTGGTTGGTTGTCTTCAAACGTACAAATTCCATGGAAGGAGGTGGAAACCAGAATGTCTGCTCTTAATGTGGTCAGTTTCTTCTACCATATTATTGTAAATCATTTTACAAAATTGTATTATAAAATATGAATTTTCTGCTCCAGGTTGCTGATGTAGTACTACAAGAAGGTCAAACATTTGATCTCTCCATGGTTTTGCACTTGGTGACAATTTTATGTGACAGGGAATCATACGAACCAAAAGGCTTTATGTGCATTGTATGTCATTTGCTATTGATTTTTTTGTTTCATAATGCAGAATTCAAGTATTTTAATCTATCTTTTCATGTGTACATTACATTTTAGGTACATAGATCACTTGTAGATGTTATTGGTTCCTATTCAAAGTGGATGTCTTCTTATGTAACTAATGCCAGGCCATTACTGTAAGGATTCTCTTCTTTAAAATTTCATAAAATAGAGTTTAAATCACAAAAATAACCAAAATTCATTTACTTACCCTTAATATATCTACCTCTGATCTTCTGTTTTCAGTTTATTTTTTGCAGCTGGTATGTCAGAACCTTTATGCTCGCATGCCTGTGCAACTGCCTTTAGAAAGTTGTGTGAAGATGCTACTGCAGTTATGCACAAACCTTCAAGTTTAGAAATGTTAATGTGGATTGGAGAGGTTAGTTAAGGTACCTTATTTGTTACGGCTATATTCAATGACGAGGGCGTTTACGTCTTTTACCTTATTTCAGGGATTGGAAAAGAGACACTTACCTTTAGAAGACGAGGAAGATGTTATTGGTGCTGTTACGTTGATACTTGCTCACCTTCCTAACACGGAATTAAGGAACAATTTGTTGCTTAAGTTGCTTTCTCCTAGCTTCGAATCTATTGGAAAACTTGTAAGAATTTTTATCTTTACTAAAAACAAATTAAAAACTTGTCTGAATCCATGACTTAATTTGGTTCAGATTGATGGGGATCATGTCCTCACTTTGAGGCAACTACCAGCTGCTTATACTCATCTTGTCAACTCTTCAGTGAGGGGGTTTTACAGGTTTTTCTCTTGAAATGGTTTTTTTATGTTACCTTTTTTTTGGTAAATGAATTTTTTATCAGTTATTAGAATTAAAACTATACATTGTATTTGCATATAATTGAAAAGGTTCATTCCATTCCTATAGACCAAGTGACAAAACCAAACATGATAATGGAATGTAATGACTCATTCCATTACCTCTTTCATTCTTTTCATCCACCGAAACAAGTTCCTGAATTTATCGAGTCTTTTGATTTAAGTTTTAACAAATGGTTTCAGGATAGGAACGGTGTTTGGTCATCTTGTAACACCTGTCTCTACATCTCCTGATATCGACAATTCCATAATTGCCCTTCTTGAAACCTTTTGGCCTATGCTTGAAAAATTCTTTCAGTCGGAGCACATTGAGAACACAAGCTTATCCATGGCAGCATGCAGGGCTCTCTCACAGGCAATCAAATCCGCAGGTAATCCAGATTGAATAATATTTTAGTTTTAGAATTTTAGACAATCCAAAATAATCCCATTTCGTTTGTTTACATTCATTACAGGTCATCACTTTGTGACACTGTTGCCCAAAATCTTAGATTACCTATCAACAAATTTTTGCATCATTTCAAACTCATGAGTGCTACATTAAAGCAGGTAAGTCAGATTGAGATTTTTCATTTGTTTTTCTTATTATTTATTAGTTGTTACTCTCTGTCTACAGCTTGTATTGTGATTGAAGAATTTGGTAACAAGGAGGAATATGGAGCTTTATTTATGAGTACGCTTGAAAGATTTACACATGCATCATCTGTAATGGCCATAAATTCTTCTTATGTGTGTGATCAAGAGCCCGATCTTGTGGAGGCTTATTGTAGTTTCACATCAATCTTTCTTTGCAGCTGTCCAAAGGTTAAATTCGCTATCTCTTTAGGATCTGTTTGTTAAATTGACTATCTCTCTGTGCAAAAGACGTGAATGCCCTTATCATAATATAGGGTTTTGATGCATTACATTTACAGGAAGTAGTAGCGTCTTCTGGTCCTCTTCTTGAAGTTTCACTTCAGAAAGCAGCTATATGCTGTACAGCTATGCATCGTGGAGCAGCACTTGCAGCAATGTCGTATATGTCTTGTGAGCATCATTCACCTACAACTACTTTTAACAAAATTTATTATTACAACAATCTCTCATTATGATTTTCCTCCCTTACAATTAATTAAATTATATTTTCGTCCGTCGTTTTAATTTTTATAGAAGTAATGAAGGAGAGTTTGGGGGTATTTGTTTTCTACTTGTTATTTGAAGGTGATGGATGGATGTGAAATTTTGAATTTTGAATTTTGAAGTAGTCGTTGTTGTGTTGTGTAGGTTTTCTTGAGTTTGGGGTGAGTTCATTGCTGGAATCGGTGACATCCAACTCTGCATCCATGGTGGTTCAAGTAATATCTCATAGCGAAGGGATTGTATCAAATGTTGTGTATGCCTTACTTGGTGTTTCTGCAATGTCAAGGGTAAACACTAAACAATAATAATAATAATAATCCATTAATTAAATTAAACACGATTAAATGCAAGAAATAGCAACTTGAAAAAGACACTAGGTAATTATTTTTGGTTTTTCGTCCTTGTAGGTTCACAAATCTGCAACTATCTTGCAACAGTTGGCGGCCGTATGCAGTTTTAGTGAAAAAACAAAATGGAATTCTCTTCTCTCTTGGGATTCTTTACGTGGATGGCTACATTCTGCGGTCAACTTTTCCCTGACACTGATACTCAATACTGATACTGATACTGATACCGATACTGATACTGATACTGATGTTTGTTGTAGGTGCGGAGTCTACCGGGTGAGTATTTAAGGCATGGGGAAGCGGAATCTTTGGCACCTGTATGGCTAAAGGCTCTGGGTGATGCAGCATTTGATTATGTGGAAAGCAGAACCAGTGATGGAGAGAAGAATCATAAACATATGAGGGGAAAGGGTGGAAGGTTTCTCAAGTCTTTATTCCGTGAATTTGTTGATAGTCATCGAAACATTGGAACATGATGATATTTTTGCTGCAATTCAATCTTGCATTTGCATTTGGACATTCTGGTATTCCTTGTATCAGTAGTTTACAATCAAATAATCTGTATTTTTGTACCCAAATTTTGTATTTCTATTCATATATTTTTGCTTTGGCGTCTACCTTGCTGACAAGGTGATGAAGTAAACAAGGTAATGATTGACATGTATAATTTTCTTGCTTAAACTTCAATAAATTTCATGTAATATCCCTAAATTTTACTCTTTTTATTCTTACTTATGGATATCAGATAAATATGGAACGACAAAATGTTAGGAATTTTGAAGTTTTATTGTTATTATACTTGAAAAGGCTTAGGGATGGAATTATGATTTAGTCAAAGTTGAGGGGGTATTTTGGAAAGACTAGATGAGGACGAGCATGGTGATATCTTTTATTATTATTTTTCTAATATTTTATTATGTTTTTGACCTTTTTTGGCTACACTGAAGGAAAGGAGGGGAAAGAGAGCTATTAAGTATAAACCTAGAAGTTATGATTTACAATTTAATGAGAAGTGAAGTTCTTGTTTTCTTATTATTATTATTATTATTATTACTATTATTATTATTATATCATCATCTTCTCTTTTTGAAAGTAGTTTGTGGTGACGAGTAAGATCAAGGGAAAATGCCACCGTGACCGTTTGTAGAAGGTTTCCTGGTTTCTAATATCATCTGTCATTTATTTTAAGTTTAAAGACTTAATAATGTGTACATTTGGTCCATATCATTTTGATGAGATATATTAAACCAGCCCTTTACTTCACTCGTCTCCTTCCGATCGACCTCATTTTCTCTACAAGAAGTAAACGGCGAGTCAACAGTTAGGGTTTTCAAAGTTGCTTAAGATCGAGGTAACATTGCTGTCGATAGACTGTAAACGAAGCTACGAGCAGAAATGGCACAACCTAATGATGAACAAGTTGGACTGTTTGCGATGGTGGAACTAAATTACCTAGGTGGATTTACTTGTAATCCTTTGTCTTACTTGGGGGGAGTGAAAAGCTCCTTCAATGATGTTGATTTTTCTGCTGACTTATTATGAGTGTGTCACTTTCCTGGAACGATTCATGAATGAGGAGATTAAAAAACTTCACTACTCTGAACCAACAAAAGGTTTATGTGATGGAATCCAACATCTTTTTGATGATGTAGATTATGCTGCTTTTATTTTTGATGCATATGACACACATGTCATAATTTCTGTTTATGTTGACCATGATGGGATGGAATTGGGGGGAGGTTTGATGAAGAACATAATAAAGGTGATGATAACGACTCCTATGTTGATGGTGTGGAAAATGGAGATACTTTTATGGATGTGGAGGTTGAAAATGATGAGGATGCTATCCCTATGAACAAAACAACCCAGGATCATTTATTGAATCAATTATAACAGATAGGGGTTTGGAAGATGTAACGACCCAAATTCCCAAATAAAATTTTCATTTTTAAATAATCAAAACATTCCCATAACATATGAAATCTCAATGACAATTGTTTTCAAAATCCATAACATCAACATTTTATTTCAAATATCAGAGTGTCCCCATATAAAATGCCGGAGAGTGCATGCCGCGCCATCAAACCTTGTCATTGCCCTTAGGCTCTGAAGTACCTGAAACAATCAACAAAATGTAAGCTAATGCTTAGTGAGTTCCCCAGAGCATACCCCACACAATCCACATAACCACATAATCCATATTAGCTAGATAAGTTACATAAACCACATAAGCCATGCATACAAACATATAAGGATGTCGTGGGCTCCCCCAGGGTCTTATACCTACAAGCCATTGGCTTCTTCCCATGGTCTTTACCTAGGATGCCATGGGCTCCCCCACATGGTCTGATATCCGACTACCACGGGCTCCCCCGGGGTCTTCCATGCAACTAACACAAGGTCAACTAGCATACCATATATCACATAATAACTATCATACTACATAACATCTATATATATATATATAATATATATATATATAATATATATATATATATAATATATATATATATATATATAATATATATATATATAAAAACATATAGGGATGTCGTGGACTCCCTCCAGGGTCTTACTCCAGGAGGCCGTGGGCTCCCCACGGGTCTTATACCTATGTGTCATTGGCTCCCCCACATGGTCTTAACTACTTGCCATGGGCTCCCCCATGGTCTTTACCTGGAATGCCATGGGCTCCCCCACATGGTCTTCATATTTCTAATCAATAAATACTAGCACATTCCCATATACATGCATACCATACATATCAGTAGTGAATCCACAATAAACACTACAACTAACTGAATGGACCGACCATGGTGCCTTAGACCCATTGGTATGATGAGGAGACTCACCTCTCAAGAAATGTTGAACTGATAAGATAAGTCCCAACTCGCAGCTCCAACTTAAATGCCTACAACAATCATATGACTAACTTTGTCAAAATCCCGAAATACCAAAAATACCCTCAAAGACAAACTTGGTCAACCATGGTCAAAGTCAAGTCAACAGTCAAGGTCAACAATCCATGTTGATCCCAACTCGTCGAGTGCATCCAGCAACTCGTCGAGTTCCTTCGGTGTTCAGAAAATTGGGAAAACCCTAGTCAACTAGCCGAGTTATCTCATCAACTCGCCAAGTTTGCTCAGTATCCAGAAAGCGGGAAAACCCGATCCAACTCGTCGAGTTGCTAGGGCAACTCGTCGAGTTTTCCCTGTCTTAACTTATTTAGCCCTTCCAGTTGAATCTAAAGCCCCAAACTACAGATCCAGTCCCTTAGGACTGAAATACCACGTAAAGTTGCTAACTTTACGAGCATGCAAGGCCTCAAGGGGTTAAAACACTAAAACTAAGTTTAATAAAAGGTTTAGGGCATGAAGGAGGGCCAAGACTAGATAAAGTGGGTAACTTTATGTCCATGGAGGCCTAGGGGTGTCCAAATCTGAAATCCTATTCTCATGACAAGTTCAAACCCAAGAATGACTCCATTATGCACCAAAAGTGACCATATACTCTTATCTAAGCAATAAAAGGTCAAGGTATCAACTTTATACCTCAAGATGGTTGCCAAAACAGAGTAGATGTCGGATCTACTGCTTCTTCCTTTACTCCAACCTCTTCAAGCTCCAAGTTCCTTCATAATCACCCCCAAAATCACTCTCCAAGGCTCTCACACACACTCAAGAAGGTATAAGGCTCGAACTAGGGTTTCTCTGGACTGTAAGGACGATGAGGGAGCCCACAAATGAGCCATAAGTTCTTTATATAGGGTGCAAAACTCGAAAAATTAGGGTTTTCCTTTCCAGCGTCTACTCGTCGAGTTGGGGCCTTCCAACTCGTCAAGTAGACCCTTTATCCTGTGTCCATAATGATCCCTACTCGATGAGTTGGAGCTCCCCAACTCATCGAGTCCCAGTCCAAAACCCTAAATGTTAGAGAAATAAATGATACCTGAAATAAGTGTTACAAATCTCCCCCACTTGAACTAGACTTCGTCCTCGAAGTCTGCTGATGCAAACAAATCCGGGTAGTGGTCTCGCATCTCATCTTCCGGCTCCCATGTCCATTCGGAGCCTCTTCGGTGCTGCCATTGCACCTTCACTAGCTTCACTTCCTTTTTACGAAGGACCTTAGTCTTCCTATCCAGAACCGCAACGGGCCTCTCAATGTAGTTCAGACTCTCATCCACCTGAATGTCGTCCAGAGAAATAACCGTGGCCTTGTCTGTGACACACTTCTGAAGCTGAGACACATGGAAGGTGTTGTGTATCTTGCTAAGCTCGTCCGGCAGATCCAAGCGATAAGCCACCTTGCCCACCTGGGCAGAAATCCTGAACGGGCCAATATATTTGGGCCCTAACTTGCCCCTCTTCCGAACCTGATGACTACCTTTCATGGCGACACTTTCAGCAAAACAAAGTCCCCCACCTGAAACTTGAGATCCGATCGGCGCCAGTCGGCATAGCTTTTTTGACGGCTCTACGCAACTCGCAGCTGCCGCGCACCTGTTGAATCAACTCGGTAGCCTTGAGCACCACCTCAGTGCTTCCCATGACTCGATGCCCTACCTCACCCCAACAAACAGGAGTCCTACACCTCCGACCATACAACATCTCAAACGGTGGTCGATCGATACTAGCATTATAACTATTGTTATATGAAAACTCTGCTAGTGGGAGGTATGTATCCCAACTCCCTCCGAAGTCCAATACGCATGCCCGAAGCATATCCTCAAGTGTCTGGATTGTCCTCTCACTCTGGCCATCTGCCTGGGGGTGGTAAGTAGTGCTAAAATGTAACTGAGTGCCCAACTCTTCGTGGAACTTCCTCCAAAACCTGGATGTAAAACGGACATCCCGGTCGGAGACCACCGAAACTGGCACCCCGTGCTTGACCAACACCTCCCGCACATAAATATCTACTAATTCTCAGCAGAGATATTCTCGGAGATCGGAATAAAATGGACACTCTTCGTCAACCTGTCCACAATGAACCAAATAGAATCCACACCCCTCGCCGTCCTCGGTAACTTCATGATGAAGTCCATGGTGATCTCTTCCCATTTCTACATAGGAATGGGTAACGACTGAACCTTTCCATGGGGCCTCTGATGTTCGGCCTTGACCTTCCTGCAGGTCAAGAACCGCTCCACGAACCATACAATCTCCCGCTTCATGCAGGTTCACCAGTAACTCAGCCTCAGATCCTTATACATCTTCGTGGTCCTCGGGTGCATAGAGAACTTGGATCTGTGTGCCTCCTCCAAGATCTCCTGCCTCACAACCCTGGTTACCGGTACCCACACCTGGCAACACTGTGTCAGAAGACCTCGACTATCCTGTACAAACAAGGGAAACTGACCCTGAATCCGCTCTATCTTCCAGTTCTCTTTCTTCAAACCCTCCACCTGAGCCTCCTTGATCATATACAACAATGGAGAGATCACTGTCATCCTCAAACAGACATCCCGAATCAGAGCACTTGCCGCCTTGCGGCTCAAAGCATTGGCCACCACATTGGCCTTCCCTGGGTGGTACAAGATTTCGCAATCATAATCCTTTAGTACATCCAACCACCTCCTCTTCCGCATGTTCAGGTTCTGATGATCCATCAAATATTTCATACTTTTATGATCAGTAAAGATGGTGCACCGAACTCCGTACAAGTAATGCCTCCAAATTTTGAGGGCAAACACAACCGCCCCCAAT